AACCCATATACTACCATCCCCACTCATCTAACCAATACTCTCTCTCAACTTGATTCAACCCAACCCATACACTTCCATTCCTACTCATCCAAACCCATATACTCCCATCACTACTCAACCCAACCATACACAACCATCTTGACTCATCCCATCCTGACTCTGTATAATGATTGCTGTGTGTATATTACTGCTATATGTATTGATATTTTAATGCAAGAAATGTGACAGTGTGTTTTTAATCTAATTTGGCTGTCATTCATGGCCTGGTCTGAAGCATTTAGAAACAGAGTTTAATACTAACAAAGCACAATTTTAGGACTTCTGAACAGAAGAAATTGTTACATTTTTTGTAGCGAGGGCGACATGGTCTATCAGTAACAGATGCACCAAGGACAGGATTTGGACCTCCATGGCAACCAGAGGGTCAGATGTCATGGCAACAACAAGCATGGAACCAGTGGTCATGGCAACAACAACTTGAACAGGAATATCGTAACTCCCCACATACAAGAGCACGAGAAAGTCATTCTTGTGAAAGAGACATGCCTAGAAGGCGACAACCAGATGCGGAATATTATAGAGATGAATATGGCAATATCCGACAGGTAATTAGATGATATCGAATTGCATCATATCTCGTGTCTTTCTATGCCATTCTACACCATCACACATCACAATTACATTACACTATAATGCATGATGTTAAATATTGCATCATACCATACTATATCACATTGCATTACATCATATCACATTGCATTGCATCATATCCTATCATGTCACATAACATCGCATTGCATTGCATCATATCACACCACGTCACATTGCATCACATTGCGTTGCATTGCATCATTGCATTGCATCATATCACACCACGTCACATTGAAGTGCATCATGTCATATCACATTGCATTGAATCATCTCACATTGCATTGCATCATATCCATCACGTCACGTCACATTGCATCATATCACATCACACCACATTGCATTGCATCATATCACAACACATCACATTGCATCATATCGTATCACATTGCATTGTATCATATCACATCAAATTGCATTGCATCATATCATATATCACATCACATTGCATTATATCACAGCACATCACATTGCATCATATATCTTATATCACAGCACAGCACATCACATTGCATCATATATCACATCACATCACATTGCATCATATATCACATCACATCACATCACATT